TTGTGGAAACTTGTTTCTCATGAAAACTTTGGTACCTCTAATCATGACGAGTGAGATCTAGAAGGGAATTAAGAACTCTGGGTTTCTCCCATGGGGGAGGGGAAGGAAAAAAAAAAAAGAGGTTAGAGTGGGAGAGAGCCAAAGCATAAGAGACTCTTAAAAACTGAGAACAAACTGAGGGTTGATGGAGGGTGGGAGGGAGGGGAGGGTGGGTGATGGGTATTGAGGAGGGCACCTTTTGGGATGAGCACTGGGTGTTGTATGGAAACCAATCTGACAATAAATTTCATATATTGAAAAAACAACAACTATGGTTTTCTTTCTTTCTTTCTTTCTTTCTTTCTTTCTTTCTTTCTTTCTTTCTTTCTTTCTTTCTTTCTTTTTGTTTATTTTTGAGAGAGGGAGACAGAGTGCAAGCAGGGGAGGAGCAGAAAGACAGGGAGAAACAGAATCTGAAGTGGACTCCAGGCTCTGAGCCATCAGCACAGAGCCCGATGTGGGGCTCGAACTCACAAAATGTGAGATCATGACCCGAGCCAAAGTCAGACACTTAACCGACTGAGCTACCCAGGTGCCCCCAAGAACTATGGGTTTCTTATTTGATTTCTTTATTTATATATTGGCACATAAAAGGGTGATGTTTTAGAGTTTTTGAAACTGCTTAAGTTTGATGAAAATGGAAGTTAAACAAAATGAAAGGAACTTCATGTATTTTTTTTTTTTCTAAGTGTGTTTGGAAATGTGAGAAGAACCTCAAGAGAGTGATTCTTATCTCCTTAAAGTCAGACTCAGAGAAAGCTCTCGTTCACAAGTCCTAGAGTGTATCTAGTAAAAGCTGTATTTACTCAGTACTTGACATTTTTAGGGCACTTTCTAGTTCTACTGTCAGTTTTACCTTGTTCGAATTAAAGTTTAATTTTAGTATACGGTAAGACCTGAACAGCCTACTAAAATAGCACCCCTACCTGCCTTCTCCAATTAGAGGATTTGGAGTCGAATACAAAGGTGGCCTGGGAAAAATCAATTTCCTTACTATGAAGTTTAAACTGGATCTAGTGTCTTAGAAATGCATGTCTGACAATAAACACTCTCCAGGAGTGGTTTCTGCTGTAACTGAGCTGTATTGTACAATTTAAGGGGAAGGAAGGGGAAATAGAAGTGAGTATTTTATATAGAACATATCACCCTGGCTGTGATTTTTAATGAGGTTAAACAATATTGTTAATAAAGTAGCCCTTTTACCCCATAAATTTTAAGAAATGTAATTTCAAATCTTATTAACATTTGTCTTTTTAGCTACTTTTAAACTTACAATAGTGCCACAGTTGACAAGAATATCATTGCTGAAGTTCTTCCAAGATATATTTATGTTATGTATATTGTATATGAACTATGTACATTTCTTGCACATATATATTTCTTCCACATATATATAAATTTGGGAAACTAATAACTAAAATAGGTAATCTATTTATTTATATTAGTTTCCCATGGCTACTATTTCAAATTTTTATAAATATGATGGCTTAAAACATTACAGATTTATTGTCTTGAGATCTGGTGGTCAGAAGACTGAAATGGGTCCCATTGGTTAATGTCAAGGAATTGACAAGGCTGTGTTCTTTCTGGAGGCTCCCTTGAAAGAATTCCCTTGCCTTTAGCAGTTTTTAGAGGCCACCCACATTCCTTGACTCATGGACCTTTCCTCCATCTTCAAAGCCCACAATGGCCAGTTGAGTCTTTTTCATAGCACATCACTCTGACACTGGCTCTCCTGCCTCCCCCTTTCATCTATGAGAACCCTGGTGATTACATTGGACCCACCAGAATAATGCCAAATCATTTCTTCAAACTCAAGGTTATCTGATTAGCAACCTTAATTCTATGTGCAACCTAATTCTCTCTAGCCATGCAACATTACATATTCAGTTTCCAAGAAGTAGGATGTATACTTCCTTAGGGGGCATTGTTTTGCCTACCACATTATCTGACCAAAGTTTTAACATCATGATTCTGGGATACCTTGACAGTGTACTGAAGGGGGGCAAGTATAGAATCAGGAAGATGAGATAGGAAGCAGGAAACCACAGGAGATAAAGTGGTGCCTTAGACAAAGGAGCAGTGGAGGTGGTGAGAAGTGGCAGCATCCTGAATATGTTTTGAAGGTCATTTGCTGATCCATTAGATATAGGATATGAGAGAAAGAGAAGAGTAATGTGGATGGTTTTTGGCCTAAGCAATAGGAAAAAATAAGCTGCCATTAATAAAGATGAAGAGAACTGAAAGAGCAGATTTAGGGCTTCAGTGTTTAGTTTATGGAAGGCTAAGAATAACTCTTCTAACTAAGGAAGAAACATGTCCCAGGTGTTTGGTAGTGATGCCATGCAGATCTGTCTCCTAGAGGGCCAGAGGAACAGTTCCTTGGGACTTTATACCAAGGAATTGCAGATTTAATTCATTTGCCACCCTCTACTTCTCTTCTTCTGTTTATGAGAAAAAGGAGGAGCACTGTCTTTTTAATAACCATTCCCCCCCCCCCTTTTGAACAACGTCTAGCATATCTAAATTGTCAACAAATTAGATTTTTTGGGTAAGGACTGGGAGGGTGGTAAGAAAAGAGAACTTCTTTTTGCCTTTGCAAATCACTGGTCTTCCAGTGATTTATGACCTACTGGACCAGAGAGATATTATAACATCTTAATAGTTCCTAAGCATGCTTCACATGACCATTTTTGCCAGACCATCTTGAATTGCCTTTGCCAACACTTACTTGTACAAAGCTTAAGAAATGGGAGTTTCCTCCAATACTGAGCCCTGGGAAACATCCTTTTTCTGCAGGGATTCCAAATACTTCCAACCAAAATTTGTTGAGTGGCAGTTCTATATTATTACTGGGCTTCCATATCATGTCTTGTTTCTTGGAATTGATAATTCCTTCTTAAGACCTCCTGATGGTAGATTATTTAGTTATTCCAGTGGTTTCTGCAGCCAAGGAGACCTCATGGAACTTGAAATAACAATAGTTAACATGTATTAGGCGAATCTATTATGTTCCAGATGTTATGATAAAAACTTTCATGGCTTGTCTTATTTAATTCTTATAACAAACTGATGAAGTTTGTAGGGATTATTTTGGCTACATTTTGCAGATGGAGTAATTGAAGCTAAGAAAGGATATATATTTACAGAGAGGAAATAATGGTGCTAGCATTCCAACCCAGGTCATCTGACTTTAGAAACTGTGCTCCTAACTGCTGCCCTATATTTTCCTCCCCAGATTGACCCCTGCCATCTATTTGTGCTTGACATTACTGTATGATTGGTGTTAACTGGCAAGTTAACACATCCCATAGCTGACTTTCTGCCTTTTTTGTGTGTAGTTCTTAAGCGAGCTAAACCTAGCAAAATCCAGCCCTTCAAAAGGAAATGAATTCAAAGCAAATAGGCCATCTTTGGTCCTGCTGCTAGTTAGGACCCAAGGCTCCTGGCACCGGGCAGTGGTCAAGAAGAGAGCACTACTGTGGCCTTTGGCATACCCACCTTGCCAAGTACTTCCATTTCTCAGTTCCATTCCTACTGAACATCTGACTGCAGGAGTCCCACTACTCTTTCAAAAGATTCCCTGTCCTGAGAACTGTGCAGCCACTCGGTCCCTCCCTGATCTCTCTTCATCTGACAATACCAGAACATTGACTGCTCACCCTGAGGTAACTTGACAACCACTGAATCAACCCTGATTTGTTTTGGAGCAGGCTTCCTTGGGTATGTTCCCTTTGTGAAGACATGGATTGCGTCTATTTTGTTCACTGTGGTATCCTTAACACCCGATTAGAGTGTAAGCTAGTGAGTAAATTCTTGTCGAATGATCAGATTACATGCCACCATGCATATAAACCTTAGGGGAAACTCAGGTGCCTGTGTTCTTAGTAATGCTCCCCGGCCATTGTCAGTGCCATCAGACACCCCATGCTTCCCTACTGACTCAGAAATGACCATTCTGCAGCCATACAAGGGGAAGGTTTTCTACATCCCATAAACCTCAGCCCTTGTCCTGACCAGAGGCAGATATTTAGGAAGCTCCAAGTTTGTCAGCTAATGGCAACCACATTTAAAAAGTGGTAGAGGGGCGCCTGGGTGGCTCAGTCGGTTGGGCGACCGACTTCGGCTCAGGTCATGATCTCACAGTCCGTGAGTTCGAGCCCCGCATCGGGCTCTGTGCTGACAGCTCGGAGCCTGGAGCCTGTTTCAGATTCTGTGTCTCCCTCTCTCTCTGACCCTCCCCGTTCATGCTCTCTCTATGTCTCAAAAATAAATAAACGTCAAATTAAAAAAAAAAATTAAAAAAAAAAGTGGTAGAGAAGAGATGCCCCACATACAGACATTTTAAGCACTAACTTATAGTGAAAAACATGTTCTTTGACAAAGTTGGGGATGTCCTCAAATCTTTATCTTCCATCACATCATGTTTCCCTGAGGTCTTGAGTACACTGAGTCACCTAGAACTTGTAACCCCTTTCCTGCTGGATTCTCAGTGTTTTCAGGTTAACTTACGGAATTATGTTGCTGTATGCACACAAATTATAAATAGAATTCTGTATTTTTGTGTAGGTTTTTACAATATGCCTTGAGATTTCAACCTTATCTAGGTATCCTTTATGGTGCATACAGCAAGAATGTTTGCACAGTATTTCAGGAATATATTATTTGTGACTTCTCTCCCCAGCCTGCGCATGCATGCATAAGCTCACAAACACCAACCCCCCCCCCCCATACACACACACACACACACTGATTTCTTCTGTGGGATTCAATTATTTCTGGCTAGATGAGAAAGCAATGCAAAAACAATTTGAGAAATAATCTCTCTACAGTGTGACACCTCCTTTAATTTGCTGGTGAAGCTGTTACTATAAAGACAGAATTCTTTGTTCATTTCCAACACAAGCAAATATATCAATCCAGCACTAAACATTCCTTGGTTTCTTTTTAATTTTTTTCAGGCAAGAAAACTTATCAGTGACTTCGCCATTATCTTGTCCATTCTAATCTTTTGTGTAATAGATGCCCTGGTGGGTGTGGATACTCCAAAACTAATTGTGCCAAGTGAGTTCAAGGTAGGTGAACTTCTGCTTTTGGTCATTCGTAGAACGCTATGGATTTCTTTCCTCTCCCCTATTCTAGTTTGTCATATATTTTTGAGTTGGTTTTGTAGGATTATCCATTTCCTTATTTCAGAAATGGTCTTTTGCTAGATGCATACATATTCTTTGTCTATTCCTTCACTAAAGTTGACTGCCTGATTACGATTAAATGCAGGGTTCACATTATATTGAGTTTTATTGAAAAATACACTCTGCTTTATATTTTTAGAGTATTTAAAATGAGCTGAAGTATTTTCATGCTACTAATCCCCTTCTTGGTCCATATAATAATTCTAAGATGTAATGCAACTATCATCATCCTGATTTTATGAAGTTGATATCGGAGCTCAGAAAGAGTAAGGAAAATGCCTAAGATTATGTTATTACTCTTTTCCTGCTACAAAACTACCTGCCATATATACATACATCTATATATAATGTACATTTTAATTATTACAAAGAGGGGGTGGCTGGGTGGCTCAGTCGGTTGAGCGACCGACTTCGACTCAGGTCATGATCTCACGGTTTGTGAGTTCGAGCCCTGCATCAGGCTCTGTGCCGACAGCCTGGAGCCTGCTTCAGATTCTGTGTCTCCCTCTCTCTCTGCCCCTCCCCTGCTCACACTCTGTCTCTCCCTGTCCCCAAAATAACAAAATATTAAAAAAAATTTTTTTAATTATTACAAAGAAGATATAAGAATTATTCACTTTATAAATCTGTTGGTATGTGCAGGCCTAATGGGTAAAATTTACATTTCAGTCATTCTTATATATCCCTTTCTAATTTTTCATTATGTCTTTCACCTGTTTTATGGAGCACTCCTAGCCTCTCTCTCCATCCCTGAGACCATATGGTACAGCAAACAGAATGTTTGTTGCATTATCTGTGCCATCTCATATTCATTTGCAAACATAAGTTTTCAATCATTCAGTGATTAGTTCATTTAAGTCAGTATTTATTGAATGTTTGCTTTGAGTCAGGCCCTTTCCAGGGGATATGAAATGTACTGATGAACAAGAGAAAGTTGTTCCCTCCTTCCAAGCTCACAACCTGGTAAAGGAATAAAATGTGGATGGATTCAGTGATGTAGTTATGAGCAAAGGGAGACGGAAGACAAATATCTTCAGAGAAGTGAGACTTTCTTGATAGTAAACATAGAGAAAATAATTTATAGGATTCTGTTTTAGTTTATTTGCATTATTTAATGTTAGGAAGAGGATAGAAAAATATTCCAGGAGAAGTGGAAAAATGATCATCTTTTTCATTTTTGGTAACATTTCTGAGGATTAAACCAGTTATTCTGGGTCACTGTTCATATGTATAAGAAAGACCAGAGTATTAAACAAGTTCTATTATTAAAAAAAAAAAAAATTTGTACCTTTCCTATATAATATGATGTGAAACTATTACAATTTTTCAGTAGTAGAAATAACTTGGGTATAATTGCTAAAATTCATGAACAAAATTCATTCAAATTTCTTGTCTGTCTTTACTGACTATTACATTTGGGTTTTTTTAATGGCTGCTCTTTAAACTTAAGTCACATTCTTCCATCTTGAGTCCTTACCTTAGATCATCCTAAATACACAAAATGGCATGTACTTGTTTTCCTTCAACCTATAGTCTTAGTCTCCTTCATTTAAAAAACTGCCTTAAAAATAATCACCTTTAGGAAATTATTGGTGACTAATCTTTGTTGAACCTATCAGTAAAACGGTTTCTGATTTTGAAATGTTGGCTCTCCAGAAATCAAAGTGTATCTCTCCCATTGATTTTTCACCAAAGAGTATGTATTAATATCGTTTGAAAATGTTCTCCTTCTTCTTCAAGCCAACAAGTCCAAACCGAGGTTGGTTTGTCCCACCATTTGGAGGAAACCCCTGGTGGGTGTACCTTGCAGCTGCGATCCCTGCTTTGTTGGTCACCATTCTGATTTTCATGGACCAGCAAATCACAGCTGTGATTGTGAACAGGAAAGAGCATAAACTCAAGGTAAATGTTTGTAGTAATGGTTATCATTGCCTTCCACTTTCTTTATAGTACTAGGAAATACTAATTTATTCAAAACCAAGACAGTTTTATTGAGAGTTATATTACAGCTAATATTCTTTCTGACTTGGCAGAGTCACAGACCACTTGGTGTTGACACATCTCCTCAATAGAATACTTTAGGATAGATCTCATTTCAATCTGAAAAAGTTGTTTGAAATCATATTTCCTTCACCACTGAAGAGGGCAGGATAAGCTGTTTACCATTCAGCCACTGTCATCCTTCATCTGATTTTAATGTGGTAACTGTCCTTAATGAAGACAGTGACAAATACTCTTTTTGAAGCTATTGAGATAAAAACATGTTTGTTTGTTTTTGATCTGTCGACTTGGTGAGTGACAGTAATAGATTTTCTGTCATTTTACCAACCTTGCAACCTGGTAGGGTTTTTTAATACATAGTTTTCATATTTATATATAAATTATAATGATATATAACATAATATATAGTATAATGTATATTATATATTATACTATAATATATATTATATATTATAGTATAATATATATGTCTATATTTTGGATTTTTGCTTCTGTTTAAGAGTAAAATTGGCCTGCAAGTTTTCTTTCTCATAGTGTCCCTGTCTGATTTTGGTATCAGGAATATGTTTTCCTTATAGAAGAGCTGGGGAGTGTTTCTCCTCCTATTCCATTTTCATTCCATTCTCTGAAATAGAATATAATACTCTCTTTATTGTGTGTAATATGCCAATGATCTTTTTTTTGAATAATCAAACATGCTTGTAAAACTATATGGGCTGAGTAGTTTCTATGTGGAACTTATAAAACTGATGATCAAAATGTTCTAATGGTTGCAAAATATTCATAATTTCTATTTTTCTATTTGGTAACTTATATTTTTCTATATTTTGTTCCATTTCCCCAATATTTTCAAATTTGTTGATATGATTATAGTATTATCTTTTTTTTCTAATCTGAATGTTACTTTTCCCTTTAAATTCCTAATGTCATTGATTTGTGCTTTTTAAAACTATCTATCTATCTATCTATTTATTTATTTATTTTTGACATTTATTTATTTTTAAAGAGAAAGAGACAGAGTATGAGCTGGGAAGGGGCAGAGAGAGAGAGGGAGACACAGAATCCGCAGCAGGCTCCAGGCTCTGAGCTGTCAGCACAGAGCCCAATCTGGCTCGAACCCACAAACCATGAGATCATGACCTGAGCCAAAGTTGGACACTTAACTGACTGAGCCACACAGGCACCCCTGATTTGTGCTTTTTATTTTCCTTGATGATTTAGCCTGAGGTTTGTTAATTTTATTAGCCTTTTTCAAAGAAGCAGTTTATTACATTGGAGTTTTTGTACATATTGTTTTCTGTTAATATTTGCTTTATTTGTTTTGAAGCCATGTTGTTAAGTACATCCACATTTGTATCTATTTTATCTTTTCAGTGAATTGAACTTTTTATGTGCCTCTCTTTGTTTCTAACAATGCTTTTGGCCTTAAAGCTTATTTTATTTTGTACTAATAAAGGTTTGGTAACTTAATTTTCACTTCCCTGATATGTATTTTTCCAGTCTTTTATTTACAATACACCTTGTGTCTTGTGTCTCTTTGTAAATAACACATAGGATCCATTTTTACAGTCTTTTCTCTTAACTAAAATATTGAATCCATTTAAATAGATAGGGATGACTAATAGATTTGGATTCATTTTTACCACATTATTTTTGCTTTCTACTTCCCTAACACTCTATTTGCCTCACTGTTCTTTCTTTTTTATTCTCCCTTCTTGCCCTCTTTTAGGTTGATACAGTTTATTTTTTTATTGTCTTCATTCTAATTTGTTTTGTGTTAGTTTGAAAGTTATACACTATATCTTTTCTTATAGTGATTATGTTGTATATTTTAATATGCATATTTAAGTTCTGAAGGTATTCAGTGTGTTTATCCTTCTGGTGAAAACTGCTAATGGCTAAAGAATGCTTTAATGTTGATCTTCCTTCCTGAGTCCTGTGTTCTTATTACCTAGATTTGATTGCTATCTGGATTTTAAAATCTAATTAGACATGGTCAGTATTTTTAGAATTATATGCAAATTTACTCTTTGCTTTTTTTTTTTTTTTTTTTTTTTTTTTTGCATTTCAGATCTTCCATTTTGGAAGAGTTTTCTTTGGACTGAATTATTTCCTCTAAACAGTACTTATTTACTAGACTATTGAAATTTTTTCTGGGGTGATCTTTGTGTGGTAAACCCTCATTTATGTTCATCTGAAAATGTGTTTGTCTCACTTCCATTCTCATAAGATGGTTTCTCTGGATATATACCGTAGGTTAAAAGCTCTTTCTTCCAGCATGTAGAAGCTATTTTCCATTTCTGACTTTCATAAAAGTGAACTGTCAATACACTTTTCATTGCTTGGTAAGTAATCATTCTTGTCTTTTGGATGCTTTTATCATCTTCTCTTTTGTCTTTATTCTGGAGTTTCACTATAACTTGTGTCAGCGTAGATCTCTTTTTATTGTGTATTGGAAAATTGGGTTTCCAGTCTTTTATTAATTATTAGATTATTGAATCTTCCTGTCTTTTATCACTTGTAGAATTCTGTAAGTCTGACTCTTTCAATCTCTAATACATCCTTTTGGAATTCCAAGTCGAATTTTGCCATATATCTCCATCTTGTGCTCTACTTCTACTAGTCTGTTTTTGGTTTGGGGTTTTTTATTTTTGTTTTTATTTTACATTTCCTATCTTTTGGTCTCTGTGTTATATTTTGGGTAATTTCTTCAGTTCTTTCTCTTTATTAAATTATTTCTTCTGTTGGTTCTATTCTGTCAGCGAACTAGCCACTGAATTTTTCCTTTCAAGAATTATAGTTTTTTTTTTTTTGTATTTAGAAGTTCTATTCTGTTATTTTCCAAAGCTTTCTATCCAGCTTTGATAGTTCTTAACTTCTTTATTATTTTTCAATAAAGTCTTTTATTATTTTATACATTTGCTGTCTTTGCAGATTTGATTTTGAACTTTGTTTTTTTTCCTCTCTTAACTTCCGGTGTGTCTTCTCATTGTCTTTTTTTTTTTTTTTTTTTTTTTTGTAAAGAAACAGTTATAAGCTAATCTTCCCATGCAAGTGCTTCAAAGCTTCCAGAGAAGATTTTATTTGCTTCTGGGAGGTATAGGAGAGTCCAACCAACCCAGGAACTCTTTACTTTTATTTATTCCCATAAAACATATTTTATTATAGAAAGTTTTCAACATATATAAAAGTAGACAGATGGTATAACTCCAGAGGTTTATCACCCAGTTCTAGCAATTATTGACTCATGTCCAGTCTTGTGTCCTTGCTTGAGGTCTCTCCTGCTTTTGCAGTTAGTGACATCTGAAGGTTGACTGCGTTGATTGTCCAGGATGGATTCTTCACTCACTCACATGTCTCACATGCCTAGTACCTTGATGTTCCTTGGTGTGTCTGTCTGTTTCTCTGTCTTCTCTTTCTCCACATGGCATATCATCTGTGTGGGTTAGGCTTCTTGCAGCATGGCTATCTTGTTATGTACTTGGTACATGGAAGCTGACTTCCAAGAATTATGAGTGGAAGATGCAAGGCCATTTCGTGGTTATACCCACCACTGGCATAGCTTTATATTTTATTTTGCTATAGTTGATTGATTAAACTAGTCCATGTAATGGGATAAGGAAGGGCTTCATTGTTTGTTGGAGGAATAACAATTTTACATTGTAGAAAAATATGCAGGATAGGAGCATATTTTTCCAGTCATTTTCAGAAAATAATATCTGCTACATTTGTACTGCAGAATTTGCCTTAGTCTAGATCATGGTGCTTACTTCCCTGTTTTGTCATTTAGTATGTGCTTTTTCTTCTGTATTTCTTTTAAATTGGTCATTGGGGAGTACCTGGGTGGCTCAGTTGGTTAAGTGTTCAACTCCTGATTTGGGCTCAGGTCATGATCTCACGGTTTGTGAGATCAAGCCCCACGTCAGGCTCCGTGCTGCTAGCATGGAGCCTGCTTGGGATTCTCTCTCTCTCTCTCTCTCTCTCTCTCTCTCTCTCTCTCTGCACACCTCCCCCCACCCCAAATAAGTAAACTTTTTAAAAAAAGAATAAAATAATTGGTCATTGGATTCAGAAGCTTGATGAAGTATAGTTTTGACCTTTTATATCTATATCTTTTTGTATGTTTTTGAGGGTAGGGTGGCAAGACATTCATAGAAGGCCAGGACCACTTTACTCTGTGTTTTTGGCTTAAGAGTTTCTAGACCATACAGGTAATGTGAATTCCAGCTTCAAACCTAATTATAGGTTTATAGTTAGAAATATCTTTCAAGATTCTTTTTTTTTTTTTTTTCTTATGGCTTTATATCTAGTAGGATGGCCAAGAAAGGCATATATATCCCCAGTGTCTTTCTCTGTAGGGTATTTTATTTCCTAGGTGACCAACTGAGTATGCTGTATTTAGAGCATCCTAATTTTATTTCAGGGGATGTCTTTCATTTGTAGACTTTCCCCAAGATCTTGGGAGTTGGTCTTCCAGACCAGAGTTCAGATGGTCATTCTGAATCCAGGCCTGAAAGCCCCAGGATTTGACATAGTCTCTCAGGGTGGGCCCAAGCCTCCAGGGTTTACTAACCTTGTAGATTTACTCTTTCTTGTTGCCATTGTTTTTTTGTCTGCAAATGTTTCTTTTACTTTCTGGCAGATAAGGATGATTTCTAAAAGATATTTTTGGGGCGCCTGGGTGGCGCAGTCGGTTAAGCGTCCGACTTCAGCCAGGTCACGATCTCGCGGTCCGTGAGTTCGAGCCCCGCGTCAGGCTCTGGGCTGATGGCTCGGAGTCTGGAGCCTGTTTCCAATTCTGTGTCTCCCTCTCTCTCTGCCCCTCCCCCGTTCATGCTCTGTCTCTCTCTGTCCCAAAAATAAATAAATGTTGAAAAAAAAATTAAAAAAAAAATAAATAA